GGAGGAGGAGGAGGAGGAGGAGGGAGGAGGAGAAGGGAGGAGGAGGAGGAGGAGGAGGAGGAGGAGGAGGAGGAGGAGGAGGAGGAGGAGAAGGGGGAGGAGCCCTGGAGGTCTCGACCCATTCCCCGGGGCTGGTTCTTCATCCTGAGTCGCTTTTCGACGGCCCCGAGGGCCGGGAAGGGCCCCCAGAGGCCGAACCTATCAAAACCCCCCCCCGTGGTGACTTCTCCATGGCCCGAGGGGGGTCTGGGGAGGAGGAGCTGCCGGCTCCCTCGAGCCCCGCGGGCAGGGCCCTGCCTGGAGCGCCCTCCGCGGGGCGGGGCCCGGCCGGGCGACCCTGGGCGATGTTCTGCCACGGCGCCTCCCGGTCCGCAGCGGAGAGGACCCTGGCGCCCAGGAAGCGGTCCGCGGTCTCGTTGGAGTGGGAGCGGAGGTAGGAGCGCACCTCGGCTCAGTTTTTTCTTTCTTTTTTTTTTTTGTTTTTTTTTTTTGTTTGTTGGGGGGGGGGCACCTCTCGGCCTTTGGGGCCCATCGCTAGACCTCCCGGGGCCGTTTTCTGATCTGGACGCCCGACGTGGGCACGGAAAGAAGGGGCACAGTGGCCAACAACACATGTTTTGTCCCAAACCAGCAGCGGCCACTGCTGGGCAGGCGGCCTTCTGTCTCGAATGGACACGGGCCGCGGCGGCGCGGACAGCGAGTCCTGTTCAAAATGAAGAGGAACTGCTGTTGGGCATTGTGCCCATGTATTCCGTGCCCATCTCGTGCGTGCAGATCCGACGCTCCCGAGGCCCGGCGAGGGCCCCCCAGAGGCCGAACACGGCAGCAGAAAACGCCCGCTCCACGTTTTGTTGGAGGTCGGATCTCTGGGTGGGGACCGAGCAGTGAGCCTGGTTTCCGCATTCCAAAAACATGGTTCTTTAATTCAAGAAGCTGGCTTGCGAATTCAAAAACATAATCATTAAGACGTGCTCTTGACTTCAGAAGACTGGCTCTTGAATTCCAAAGAAAAAACTTGTTTTTTTTTGAACTCAAATTCCAACCTAAACGTCGCACGTCTTGGGGGAGCGCCCGCCTCGCCTGCCCCCCCTCCCCTTCCGCCCCGATGCGCGAGCAGAGGGCGGCAGACGCGGGCCGAGCGAGTCTCCCTCGACCGCGCACGGGCGTTGGGTCGGGCGTGTCCCCCCGCAGGCGGATCCTGGACGAAAAAGGAAAACTATTCCAACACAAATGCTCAAACAAATGCTCAAACGTACTCAACAACTCGTCCCCAGACTCTTCTTGTACTGTTTGGGGGTATTCCTCCTGTAGAGGGACACGCCCGACTTGACCCTAGTCATCACCCCCCTCCCGGCCGCCCGACTTAAAACTGGCGTCGACGCACAAGGCAGGAGACGATCAAGCGCGTCATGCACCCGACACTCTTGCCAAGCAGCACTGGTTCCATCAGCTTCCCTTTCATAGAGGCCTACTAGATGGGGTCGGAGTAGATGGGGTCGGAGGATCGCGCCGCATCGCCGATACATCGACGATGCATCGGCGATGCATCGGCGATGCATCGGCGACGTCGACGTCAAGCAACTCAGGCTCCGCATCGAGCCGTATCGGCGATGCATCGGCGATGCGGCGCGATCCTTCGACCCCATCCACTCCGACCCCATCTAAGAGGCCTAAAATCCTTTTCCCTGGACCCGTTTTTCATCCTGAATCGTTTTTTTGACAGTTCCGAAGCCTGGTAAGGGCCCCCAGGGGACGAACATACGGAACATCCTCCCGCCATGATTCTTTCCTCACCCGAGGGGGTATGGGATTTCTCAGGCACTTGAGCTCTCCTCTCTCAGTCCGAGGAGGAGGAGGAGGAGGAGGAGGAGGAGGAGGAGGAGGGAGAGGGAGGAGGAGGAGGAGGAGGAGGAGGAGGAGGAGGAGGAGGAGGAGGACGAAGGAGGAGGGCAAGGAGGAGGAGGGTGGAGGCGGCAGGAGGAGGGGAGGAGGAGGAGGAGGAGGAGGAGGAGGAGGAGGAGGAGGAGGAGAGGAGGAGGAGGAGGAGGAGGAGGAGGAGGGGAGGAGGAGGAGGAGGAGGAGGAGGAGGGGGGAGGGGGAGGAGGGAGGAGGAGGGAGGAGGAGGAACTTTTCCCTCAGCACTCTTGTCTGCTGGCGGTCTGCCTGCGCCTGCCGAGCACACGCCGCAAGAGGCCGGGGGGGGCCTCTGCTCTCTCCCGAAGAGGTGTGCAGCAGCAGGGGGCCATGCTCCGGCTGCCGTAGCGCGGGCTGCCGCCGCCCACGCAGCAAAGTGCTTTCCCCGAGGGGCAGCTCCGCCCCAGGTCGCGGGGGGGACGAGGCATTTTTCCCACGACAAACACAAGTGGTGCAGCAGGGGGCCCCTCACGGCTGCCGTAGTGCGGGGTGCAGCCGCCCACGCAGCAAAGTGCTTTCCCCGGGGGAGGCAGCTCCGCCCCAGGTCGCAGGGGGGACGAGGCATTTTTCCCACGACAAACAGAAGTGGTGCAGCAGGGGGCCCTGCTCCGGCTGCCGTAGTGCGGGGTGCCGCCGCCCACGCAGCAAAGTGCTTTCCCCGAGGGGCAGCTCCGCCCCAGGTCGCGGGGGGGACGAGGCATTTTCACGCAAGCAGCTCCATCAGCAGGGTGTACCCTCACGCGCGAGCCGTTTGCACCGAGAGCAGAGTGAAGAGGAGATCGCGGTGCAGCTCCGCAACCGCAATTTAGAGGCCTCCTAGATGGGGTCCGAGTAGGTGGGGCCGAGAGATCGCGCCGCATCGCCAATGCATCGCCGATGTATCGGCGATGCGTCGGCGATGCACTGGCGACGTCGGCGATGCATCGGCGACGTGGGCGTGGAGAAGATTGGGCCCCACATCGAGCCGCATCGCCGATGCATCGGCGATGCGGCGCGATTCGACGACCCCATCTACTCGGACCCCATCTACCCAGACCCTGACGTCATGATTTGTTCATCACGTCGACCCTGAGAGGTCTCGACCCATTCCCCGGGGCTGGTTGACGGTCCCGAGGGCCGGTAAGGGCCTCCCGAAGCCGAAATAAGGGGCAAACCTCCCGCCATGATTTTTTCCTTACCCGATAGGGGGTCTGGGCAGGAGGCCTAGACACTTGAGGGGGGTGGAGGCCGATGCTGCACACGAGGACGCCACCTCGCAGAGGGGCCAAGCAGGGACGAGCAGGGCCGCCGTGGCCATCGCCTGGCCCTCTTCTCCGAGGCCCTCGCGCGCGCCATCGCCGCGGCAGGGCCCGGCCGAGGGGCCCCGGGGATCGGATCGTCGGAGGATCGGATCGTCCCAGAGATCCGACGCGCCAGAAAGATTGGAGCGTGATGGGCGTGTCGTCCACCACCACCACCACCACCACGAGTTGGAGGGAGGGTCCTCCTCCTCCTCCTCCTCCTCGCCCTCCTCCTCCTCGCCCTCCTCCTCCCTCCCCATTCCAGCTCATGGTGGTGGTGGGAAGCAGGCTCATCAGAGAGGGCGGTTTGGGGGCCCTCTTCGGCCTTTGCGGGCCCTCGCAGGGCCGCGGGAGCGTCAACACACGACTCCCGACGAGAACGCGGCCCGGGGGAACTGGTCCGGACCTCTGCGGGCCCACGCCGTGTGTCTGGGACGTGGGATCCGTGGACCCGGCGCGTTGGCGCCAGGTCCATGGATCCATGGATCGGACCGTCGGAGGATCGAATCGTCCCAGAGATCCGAAGCCCCCAAACAAATGGAGCGGGCGGGTTTGGGACCGTCTGCGGCCCGTGGGGGCTTCCGCTGGGCCCTCGGGAGCGTCAAGAAACGAGTCATAGCACGAAGCGCTCGCCCCAGGGAAGTGGTACGGACCTCCAGGGCCCACGCATCCAGAAACAAAATTGGAGCAGCTGGATGTTTGGGAATGTGGCAAGTGCTTTCCCTGGGCAATCCTTCGGCTGACCCGTGCGGCGTTGGGGTTCTGCCGCGCCCGCTCCGCCGCAGACGAGGCCGTCCGTGAGCTCGCCCACGGCCCGGACACCCCCGCGTCGCAAAACAGAGCGCGGCGCAAGGTGTTTTTGGCAACTCTCGGCCTCCAAGGGGCCCTCACGCCAGGCCCCCGAGACCGTCGAGAACGACTCGGGGTGAAACGCAAGGTCGGGCCAGACCTCTGGGGAGGCACGTTGTGAAGAGGAGGAGGAGGAGGAGGAGGAGGAGGAAGAGGAGGAGGAGGAGGAGGAGGAGGAGGAGGACGAGGAGGAGAAGGAGGAGGAGGAGGAGGAGGGCGGAGGCGGAGGCGGAGGCGGAGGAGGAGAAAGCGCGGCGTCGGATGTCGGGGACCGTCCTCCCCCGGCCACCTCCGACCCCCCTCCTCGGATTGGGCATGACTGGACCCCTAACCCTTTGGGAGGCGACCTGATTTAGGAGGGCCCGGAGCGTTAGTTTGGACGCCCGAAATGGGTACGGGAAGAATGGGTACACTGCCCAAAACAACAAATTTTGTCCCAGACCAACGGCGGCCGCTGTTGGGCAGGCGGCCTGCTGTCTCGAATGGACACAGGCCGCGGCGGCGCGGACAGCGAGTCCTGTTCAAAATGAGCAGGAACTGCTGTTGGGCATCGTACCCATTCTTTCCGTGCCCATCCCGTTCGTGCAAAATTAGGGGTAGGGGGTCTTTCCAGCAGATGTATCGAGTCAAACCGCCCATACTCATTAGCCCTAATGCGAAAAAGGGGACCTCAGTGAGGCCACGTCTTCAGAGTCTTGTTGGATTTAGGGGTGGTTGTGTCCTCGATGATCCTCCCGTTCCTCCGCGGTCTCTCTCCTGGCCGCGGAGGGGGCAGCTGCTGACGTCAGCAGAGGCTCACCCCTCCCGCTCCAGAAGAACAGTAACTGCAGCCCTTCGGCGAGTCCAGCCCCCCCCCGTCCGCTACACTAGAAGCACAAGTAACGCCATAAACAAAAACTGTTGGCGCTTCGCGCGGATTTCTCAGATTTGCGCTGGAACCCCTCCCTGGCGCGCTCCGCGCGCCAGGGGCGGCGCTGGAGGCGCCGTCAGGGTGGCCCAGCGCGGATCCATGAAATCCTCGCGGAGCGCCAACAGTTTATGTTCATGACTTTTTTTCTTCGGCACACGCACGTGGACAAAAGCGGCTGAAGCAGATGGCGAGAATGTCTCCGGCTGAGCTGGCAGTCACCGGCAGCCCTCGTGCTACTGCGGTGAAAGATCTCATCCTTCGCCCACGTGTGGCAGCTCCTCCTCTTCCCCCCCCCCTGGCGCCTCCAGTGACTTCTCGTCGAACCAGGTGCCGCTCAGGGCCACCTGCGTGATGTAGGTAATGCATGGCCTGTTGTACTCGGCCGTGATAGTGGACATCAAGGAGAACCCTGCGGGCTGTTTCGTGTCCTGGCGGCAGAGCTATCTTGACCCCGTCAGCGCTGCCCCCCTCCGCGAAGACGTCCCGATAAGAGCGTCGACTTCCCTGACTCCGTCTGCGAGGGCATTTTCCAAACGCACGGCTGGACTCGCATGCGGAGCTCCTCCTCCTCCTCCTCCTCCTCCTCCTCCTCCTCCTCCTCCTCCTCCTCCTCCTCCTGGGGACAGGCCACGGGTCACTCTCGAAAAGATGCTGCCGAGGAGGTCGGCGTGGAGGGGGGCGAAGACTGCTCCGCCGCTCCTGTGGAATCCTCAGCAGCGAGAACTCGCCTCGGCGGCGCCCAGGACGGGGCGGGGGGCGCGGGGGGGGGCGGGGAGGAGGAGGAGGAGGAGGAGGAGGAGGAGGAGGAGGAGGAGGAGGAGGAGGAGGAGGAGGAAAGAGGAGCAGGAGGAGGAAGAGGAGGAGGAGGAGGAGGAGGAGGAGGAGGAGGAGGCGGAGGAGGAGGAGGAGGAGGAGGGGAGGAGGAGGAGGAGGAGGAGGAGGTAGGAGGAGGAGGAGGAGGAGGAGGAAGGAGGAGGAGGAGTAGGAGGAGGAGGAGGAGGAGGAGAGGAGGAGGAGGAGGCGGCGGTGGAGCAGGAGCCCCCCCCCCCGTGCGAGGCGCGCCGCCAGCCGCCTCCGTGGTTCACGTCGAAGTGCTCCCCCTGCAGGTTGACCAGGTGCGGGTCGCCCCTGGCCGAGATGGTCGGGTTGGGCGTCGGCATCGGCTCCCCCTCGTGGACCTGAGGGGCAGCGACGGGGGGGAATAGGCGTAGTGGGCGATGCATCGACCTGGAATCGGCGATGCAGCCGATAGATCGGCGACAGGCACCCGATAGCACCTCCCTGGGCGGGTTGGGGCTATCGGGCCCCCCTATCGGCGATCAATAGGCGATCGCGGGTCGATGCCTTCCCCGCTGTGCCTGTCCCCCCCCCCTATCGTTGCCCCCGAGCCCTCGTGATGCACATGCCGGCCGTCCCCGCGGTCGTGCCGTTGCTCCTGCGGGAGCAGGATGGAGGAGCGGCAGGGGGAGGCGCAGGAGCTGGAGGAGCGACCACGCAGGAGGTGTCAGGGCAGGGAGCAAGAGCGGTCAGCATCCGATCGATTGGCCCGCGGTGCGGAGCAGGGACCGGCTCGGATACCTCGGCGCGGAGTCGGGATCGAATCGGCACCAGGATGCACAGCCGCGCCGTGCAGGCATCGGGGCGGATCGAATGCTCGGAGCACCCGAAACGAATCGCATCGGGCCTGCCGGAATAGATATCGAGTCTGATTGTTCGGATGGACATGGGCTCCGAGGGGCAGGACGAAAAGGAACAGGGGGAGCAAGGTGGAGTCCTGTAAACGGTTCCCGTCGACGAGCCCATGTTGCAGGCCTGCCCCTCCTCGCACGTCGCCTTGCCGCACCCGCAGGGGTACACCGAAGAGAAGCTGAAGCCATCGGCACTCGTGCAGGCTCGCCTGACGGGGTCGTATGTTTTGAAGCTCAAGTTCAAGCACCGATCAATCTGGATCGGCGACGTGCCAGTGATGGTGACCTCCTCGAAGTGACCCGGGTTGCGTGTCGCGATGGTGATCCTGTCGCCTCGCTGGAAAACACCCTCGACGTCGTTGGTGTGCACGGTGCAGTTTCCCTCGTCTGCGTCGTCGGTGAGGTAGATTCCTCCGACGCAGTCGTCGTACATACCAGCGTCGAACTCGGCGTCCGCGCACGGGGTGCAGGTGTGCGAGCGACGGCGCGACGTTGAGCCCCCGACGCATGGAACGCAGACCGAAGCTTGGTCGGGGAGGTACATCCCGTAATCGCACTCCTCTGTGATGGGAGGGGTGTACTTGGGCAGCTCGAGGTTGTGCTGCTCCACGTACGTCGAGCACTCCGCCTGCGTGACACAGCCGTCGCCGTCTGCGTCCAGCCCGGAGAACAGACCTGGACTTCCGACCGATTGCGTCTTCAATCCGCGGGCCAGCGATCTTGGGGGCCTGTCCAGCCGGAAAAGAACGGACATATGACAAATATACGTTTCCCGAAGGGGATGTAGCGAGTTTTGCCTCCTGGGGCTCTCCTGGGAATCCTCTTGGGCCGTCTGGGGAGCCTCCTGGCCTGCCTTGGAGGCTCCTGGGGTCCTCCTGAGCCCAGACCCCCGACGTCATGATTTTTTCTCAACGTCGACCAGGAGAGGTCTCGACCCAGTCCCTGAATGTTGCGCTTGGGAGAAAAAAAACAAAAAAAAAGGTCTCGACCCCTTCCCCGGGACCGGTTTCTCATCCTGACTCGTTTCTGGGAGGTCCCGAGGCCCGGCAAGGGCCTCCAGAGGCCGAAGCTATGGAAAAAAACTTCCCGGCATGAGGAGGAGGAGGAGGAGGAGGAGGAGGAGGAGGAGGAGGAGGAGGAGGAAGGTCCCTGCGCGTGCTGGGAGGGAGGTCTCGGCCTCCAGAAGGACTGGGAGAACAGACCTGGACTTCCGACCAATCGTTCCTTCCATCGGGGGCGGCCAAGAGGGGGGCGTCCAAGAGGAGGGGGCGCAAATCATGGCCCGCGGCATGTGCGCGGCCCAGGGGGGGGGCCAGGGACGCAATGAAACAAGAGGAGGCGCCATGAAATCTGAGAAAAGATCATGACCCACGCCATGATATCGCCCCCCCTGCAGGTCGTTCATTTCTAATCGCGTTCATTCCTAATGCTGCTCGTTTCTAATTGGTTCTGGCCCCATGGTGGCCAGGAAGAGGCCCAGGATAGAACTGTTAGAAATGAAAGGATCCTGGCCCCCCTTAACTCAAAGAACTTTCGAATACTTGAACATGAACAATGGGTAGTCAGCACCATGGCCCGCGCCATGAGATCCCCCCCCCTAAGTTAGGTCGGGCCTGTCCTCCTACACAGGGGAGACAGTGGGCGAAACATGGCAGATAGCCAAACACATATTCCAAACTTCTCAAAAACAAATCATCGAAGAATCGCCCCCCTATTATTTTTTGACTATTTCCGAATATCCCCCCTGTAGAGGGACACGCCCGACTTCACCCCAGTCCTCACCCCCCTCTCGGCCGCTCCCCGAGCCCGGCCGAAGGGGCCCTGCACGCTCCGAACCCCCCCCCCCCCGGGCCCCGCGGCTGCCGCGGCCCGCGCGGGAAGGCCGCGGCCCGCCCCCCGCGGGGGCCGAGCCGGGGAGCAGCGCCAGGGACCGAACGGCAGCAACTATACACCAACACCGATCCTGGCCCAGGATCACCCTGGGCCCGGGATCGGCGCATACGCCCTCCTGCGCCTGCGCAAGGAGGCACACATGCACCGATCCTGGGCCCCGGGTGATCCTGGGCCCAGGATCGGTGCTGGTGTATAGTTGGTGCCCTCCGACCGGGGACCGAACGGCACCATCGGCCCGGAGTCTGTGGGGCAAGGGGCAGCGCGTCATCAGCATAAGCGCACAAACTCTGGGAGGAAGAAACATAGCCATGCACACAAACATACACATCAGCATCAACATGAACATGAGCATATAAACATAAACATAAGCATAATCATGAGCATACACATAAGCATAAGCATGAACATACACATAATCATAAGCATGAACATCTGCAGGGGAAGGAGCAGCACCATGAGCATAAGCTTTGGGAGGTCCGCGCGAGTTGATTGGATCGGCGCCGGCCTCTCCTGCCTGGCGCGCGGAGCGCGCCAGGCCGATCGATGAAATCCGCGCGGTCCTCCGAAAATGGGTGTCTACGCCGTTCGACCCTTTCTTCGGCAATCGGCCCGAACGCTGGGGACCTCTCATGGCTTCAACGCGGTCCACCTGCCGGGAGCGAAAAAAGAGACAACCACACGCGCTGGGCTGAGGGAACCATCCCTGGCGACGCCCCCCGGGGCCGAGCGGTCATGACCTGCAAGCGGCGCCCGTCCTCGAATGCCGTGCGCAGGTCATCACCACTCGAGGGGTCGAGGTCGGCCGTGGGGCAGCGCCAGGGGCGCTTCCCTCGGCATCCAGCGGTTGTGCGTGTCCATTCCTCGCCGAGGAGCCTCGCCCTCGATGAGGCAGCCGTTGCCGTCCACGTCGTAGAGGGAGAACCCGCCGCACCCCTCGCACTGGCACGGCTGCCCGGGCGCCAGCGTGGGCTCCGGGGTGCGGCCGGCGATCCTGGGTACGACTGCAGTGGGCACGGCAAGAAGGGGGACTAAGAAAATGAGCAGTTCCCGGCCATTCGGCACAGGACTCGCTGCCCGTGTCGCCGCAGGCGCTGTCCATGCGAGGCAAAAGCTCGCCTGCCCAACACAACCGCTGCAGGTTTTGGACAGCATCTGCTGTTGGGCATCGTGCCCATTCCCTCCGCACCCGTTGCGGGCGTGCCGAGATCCTGCTGCTCCCCGCGGAGAGGCTGATGTTGAGGCCACGGCCCCGGAACACCTTGCCGTCGCAGGCGATCTGCCAGGACACCCCCTCGCCGACGCGGCGCGCCACAAAGGGGGTCTTTCGAGCGGGAGGTTCATGGTTCGAGGATCGAAATTCGAGGATCGAGGATCGAAGTTCGAGAGATGTCCCGCGCCTGCTCTGGCACCTTTCTCCCAACCACCATGCGGTGTGTGGTCCTCGTTTCTAACCCCGGGCATCGCCCCGTGTCATCTCCTCCCGCTGCCCCCTTCATTGCTCCTCCCCTTGCCCCTGCTTTCCTCATTTCCCCTTGTCCTCACACGTTCCCGCCTGTGCTTCGTGGCCCCACAGACCCATAGGCAGGTCGACCGGAGGCCCTGGTGGCAACGCCCGCATGGCAGCACCGCGACGATTTCGGCACGTCCGTCGAACGTTACTCGCCCCCATGGAGCTCCACCCGAGACCTCATTGGCACCGCTCGCATGGCGGCACGTTGCATAGCCCCATGAAGGGGGCCCCACCGACGATCCGCCGGCAGCGCCCGCGTGGCGCCACCGCAACCATGTCGGCACACCCCTCTTACGCCGCTTGGCCCCAGAGGGAGCGCCACCAAAGGCCCCACTGGCAGCGCGCGCCTGGCGGCACCGCACCCACGTCGGCACACGCCCCTCACGCTATACGTGGCCCCACAGGGAGCGTCACCGAGGGCCCTCACTGGCAGCGCCCGCATGGGCGGCACACCCCTGACACGCTCCGTGGCACCACGGGGAGCTCCACGCCGTGGTGCCAGTCCCAGCGCCCGCAGGGCGGCACCGCCGCACTCTGGCACACCCCGCATACGCTGTGGGCCCCGTGAGGAGGTCCCCTCCCTTCGCCCCGCTTGCCCTGCAGTGCTCGCACCTGCACAGTGTGGGGTCCCTCGCCGGGATGAGTAGGAGGGCCCTCGTGGCCACCGGCTGGATGCGGCCGAGAAAAGCCGGCCAGGATGGCGGCTAGTGGCAGGCGGCGGGGCGAGGATGGCCAGCTTCCATGAGAGGACAGACGGCCTCTTCGCATGGGCCCTGAAGGCTCCCCTGCGCGACGCCTCCCGGGAGGGCGGGAGGAGGAGGAGGAGGAGGAGGAGGAGGAGGAGGAGGAGGAGGAGGAGGAGGAGGAGGAGGAGGAGGAGGGGGAGGAGCAGGAGAAGGAGTAGGAGGATGACGAGAGGAGGAAGAGCCTCCTCGGCAGGCCGCCCCCCCCACCCCGCACCACCGCCCTCGATCTGCGCCGCCGGCCTCGGTCACGGGGCCAGACAGGTAGGCGCTGGCCACGTGCGCGAGGTCGCTGCACTTCCCGTCGCCGTCGAGGTCCGCGACCGCAGAGAGGTTCGGCTCGTCGCTGTCGATGATCCACTGGCCCGGCATGAGCTCGTTGCCGTCGCAGTACGGGTCGTAGTACATGTACGTGCCCTCCCCGTTGCTGTAGACGGGCGCCCCGCTCGCGCTCCTGCCCGTGCGGCGGAACTCGGTGCTGCCGATGCTGAGGCACTCGGACGGCCACGACACGCTGAGGCTCTCGGCGAGGTAGCAGGAGGTGCCCCCGCACACCTCGGGGAACGAGCGGGTCTGCCCAGAGCGCAGAGGTCACAGCCTCCCGGAGGTCCGCGCGGACTGCCTGGATGGGCGCTGGACCCCCCTGGCAGCGCCCCTGGAGCCGCCCCCGTCGCGCTTCGAGCGCCAGGGGGGCCTGAGGGGGGGCGTCAAAGTGGGACTGGCTCACGGGGACGTGGACCTGGACCCGGCGATACAGCACCGAGACGGCTCGGCGATCGGCTCGCGATATATATAGAGGCTCTGCACCTTCCCGGGCGGGGTGGGCTATCGGGCTCCCGTCGGCGAGAAGCCCAGACCCCCGACGTAATGATTTTTTCATTACGTCGACCCCCAGAAGTCCCGACCCTTTCCCCATGACCGGCTTTGCATCCCGAGTCGTTTTTTGACGCTCCCGAGGCCCGGTGAGGGCCCCCGGAGGCCGAAAATAGCGAAAAACCTCCCGTCGTGATTTTTTCATTACTCGAGGGGGTCTGGGATCCTCCGGCGGCCGCCCCGGACGATCCGGGCACGCCCCCCGGAACGAACGCCGCCGCTGGCGAGGCGCAGCGGCCGGAAGGCACTGCAGAGGCTGGAGAGCCGCCGAGGACCGGCTATACGGAAACCTCGAGCCGACGAAGCGCCGATGCGCGCGGGCCTCTGGAAGTTTTTCCTCGAGCGTCTGGTGTTACGTCGGGCCTGTCCCTCCACAGGGGGAAGATTCAAAAATAGTTTTAAAACACAGTCAGGGGACTATGATTTATTTCTGGGCATGTGTTCAACATGTTTTTGGATATTTCTTGTTTTTCGTCCAAAATCCCCCTGTATAGGGGGGACAGGCCCGACATAAGTCTGGTGCCGCGGCGCGCTTCGCCACGGGGGCCTGCCCATCGAGGCAGACCTCGCCCCCGCAGCCGCAGGGGTAGGCGGAGCTGAACGCGGACCTGGAGGGCCCGCAATGGCTGGGGCACCGCCGCCGCTTCGGCTGTGCGCGGGGGAACGGCCAGGGATCGACCTGCAAGCTGCGTGTTCCGTTCTCTTCCGTCCTCGCGGGCCTTCGTTTCGTCTGCGCTCCGCAACTCGCCGCAACACGAGGTCGAAACGAAAACGGTGAAACCGACAACTCACAGCCTAGGTCGACCCCTGGAAATTATGCTGCACCCTCGGGGAACCTTTTCTGTCCCGTCGCGCGGCCCTATCCGTGTCGAATCCACGTCGGACTCGTCGGACCCATGTCGAATCCGTGTCGCATCCGCGTCGAAGCCACGCCACATACGCGTCGAGCCCGCATGGAGCCTGCGCCCGGCGGGCCCCCCGAAGATGCAGCGTGACGGAGGTGGCCCCAGGCAGGAGCGGACACGGGCCCGTGGCCTGCCGATGCGCTGCACGCGGTGCGCAAGATCAGAGTCAGGCCAACCGCGGCGCACCAGAAGGTGCTGGGCCTCGCTTCGTTGGGGGGCGATAAACATGGGGGGGATGGGGGGGGGGGGGGGGAAAGGCGCACTCACTTCTCGAGCCCTAGAGGCCCCCATTTGGGGCCCTAACGGGCCCCTTGTGGGGCCCGAAAGGGCCCCCTTTCTGCAGTCCTCGCTGCTCCCCCATATGTGTACCCCCCCCCCCAATGACGCGACGCCCCAACTGTGCGTCGCGCCGCCAGCCTCCGCACGGCGGAGCCGAAGTCGAGCCAGGCCCGGCCGCGCCAGGGTGCACACGAGCGCCACGCACCGCCGGCCCGACGGACACCCAAACCGCGTCGGCTCCTCCTCCTCCTCCTCCTCCTCCTCCTCCTCCTCCTCCTCCTCCTCCTCCTCCTCCTCCTCCTCCCCCTCCTCCTCCTCCTCCCCCTCCCTCCTCCTCCTCCTCCCTCCTCCTCCTCCTCCTCCTCCTCCTCCTCCAGCGGCCTGCGCGCCTGGGCCCGCCCCAGGGGAGTCGCGCGCCGAGGGCCGCCCCCCCGGCGCAGAATCGGTCGCTGCGTGCGTGCCGCCGGCCGCGCCCTCCCTGCCCGAGCGCAAGGCGCGCACCGGGCCTCGGCGGGCGGGCGAGGCTCGGGGGGGGGGGGGGGGGGGGGGCGAGCGCTTCGGAGAGGGCGGGGGGGGGGGGCGAGCGCTCGGAGAGGGCGGGGGGGGGGGGGCGCGCACGGGCGCTCGGGCGGGGGGGGGGCGAGCGCTCGGAGAGGGCGGGGGGGGGGGGAGGGCGCTCGCTCGAGAGGGCGGGGGGGGGGGGGGGGGGCGGGCGCTCGGAGAGGGCGGGGGGGGGGGGCGCGCACCGGCGTCGGGCGGCGGGGGGGGGGGGGGCGAGCGCTCGGAGAGGGCGGGGGGGCCTCTCAGAGGCCCTGCCGCCTTCTGAGAGGCCTCTGATCCCGTCCGAGCTCTGTCCAGGCGAAGGGCACCCCCCCCCCGCCTCCTTCGAAGGCCGCGCCCAGCGCCCTTCGGCGCGCCACCACGACCATCGTCCTCTCCACCCCTTCGAAGGCCGCGCCTAGCGCCCTTCGGCGCGCCACCACGACCATCGTTCTCTCCGCCCTCTTCCTCTCCTCCTTCCTGGGATGGGGAGGGGCGAGGGAGACACGGGTGGTGCAGCGACGTCATGATTGGTAGGATCGCGCAGACCCGTCGCTGACGCTGCAAGCGCCAGTGGAATAATACAGCTGCTCGTAGCCTGACTTCTTGTTGTAGCCCACGTTGTCGCCGCCCGGGTTGGCCGTGGGACTCCGGCAGGTGGTGCCCTGGGCGGCATGCGAACTGGTACGGCGCTGGGACCAGGGGGGGAGAACGAAGGATGGAGGAGGGATCGGCCGCAACCGTTCAGCGGGCGTCGCCCGCCCATGCCGCCCCCGGGGGGTCCTCGGGGGCCTCTGGAGGCCCTCTGCAGGCACTCTGTAGGTGGAGGCGGCGACATCCAAACCCTGCCCCCACCAGCCATTCTCTTGAATCGATGAGGGGGTAGGAGTCGGATTTCGCCGCGTCTTTGGCGAATTCCCAACCCTAACCCCGCTCCCCCCAATCGCGTTGCCTGAATCGTTGATCGGCGAGGGTAGGCTTAGGATGTCGCCTCCGACCTCTGGAGGCCCTTTGGAGCCCTCCGACGGCCTTCGAAGACCCTCTGGAAGCCTCCGGAGGCTTCCGCCGACGAAGCGACAACGACAATAAGGCCGTGCAATCGTTTGCGGTGCTCCGGCCTGCTCCCAGCCGTTCGTGTCCTCGCAGGGCGCGTCGTAGAGTCGGCAGGCCCCTGCCCAGGAGAGGGCGAGGGGGGTGTTCACTCATCCCAGATCCCCTCTCGATCCACGAACAAAATCACGACGGAAGATTTGTGGCAACGTCCTGCCACGAGGCTCTGGGGGCCCTTGCCAGGCCGCAGGGCCGTCAAACAACGACTCGGGATGAAGAGCTGGTCCTGGGGAACGGGTCGAGACCTCCGGGGGTCGACGTCATGAAGGAAACATGGCGCAAGGGGTCTGGGATCTGATCGGGAAACCGGCTCGGGTGAGCTGGCCCCGAAGGCGCTTCACGGCGCACCCACGGCTGAGGCCGAGGGCAAAACTGCAGTGCACGGAAGAGTGGAGGGGGCCCAAACCCTGCAGGCTTGGTCGACACAGCACGTCCTTGAGCGGTGCCGCAGCCCCCCCCCCGAGCACGAGCCTCCTCCCGAGAGCACCCGCCAGACAAACGTCGGGCTTGCACCCTCTCAGTGCCTTGCCAGGCGGGGTGGCCGACGAACAGCGCGAAGGCCTGGCACGAGGGGTACCTCAGGCACTCCGCCGCGCACGCCTCCACGCTGCCCCGGGCTCCGGCGGGCCACTCCGCGACGGTGCCCCCGCAGTCGCAGTGCCGCCCCACCTGGGTGAACCCCGCGGGTGCCAGCAGCGCAGCGTGCGCCTCCCGCCGAGGTCGGCTGGGCAACATGCGAACCCTACCCCTACCCCCCACGATTTCTGAGGGGGAGGGCGGGGTTCACTTCGCTCGGGAGGTCAAGTGAGCCCCACCCTCCCCCTCAGAAATCGTGGGGGGTAGGGGTAGGGTTCGCATGTGGCCTCCCGCCGAGGTCGGCTGGCCACCCTCTCGGGGCCGCTGGGGGGACCATGGAGCAACCCGACCACTGCAGGCTCGTGCCGTGACGGCCTGCGCGTTGGCTTTGCTGGCACCGCGTGGACCGCTCAGCCTTCCACGACCAGCGGCTTTTTTCTGAAGGGGCCCTGGGACATACAAATCAACAGGTCCCCCACATGTTCCCACACTTTCGGGGTTTTCGTCTTCCCCCCCACTTCCCATATTTTCCCATATTTTGGGGGGAATCGACGATAAGTTGTATCTGTTTTTGCTTTGTCCCTCTTGATTTTTGACCGCCGAGTAGTTCCGTATTGGCCGATGCTGTGCCACTGGCGGCGTTCGGCCTTGACCGCCCGCGGTGAGGTCGCCGCCTCGCCAGCACGGCACAAACCCACCGTACCCTCCAGAGGCCGAAGAGCGGCCATTGTGAACGGAAAGGTGTCTGATCCTGACGGCCTTCTGGCCTTGCTATTAAGTCGGGCACGTCCCCCTACAGGAGGAAGATCAAAAATAGTAGAGCATAATCCGGGGACGATCTTTCACTATTTCAGAATCTTTCAGGATATAGTTTGGCCAATGTTTATCTCTCGTCCAAAACCCCCCTGTAGGAGGACATGCTCGACCTAACCGTGTTCCTCGGCCACCTGGCCCTGTGGTCGGCGGCGCGCGCAAGAGGGGGGTGCACAGGGCAGCGGCCTTCTGCGATGTACGGGAGCTTCGTCGGAAGGGACCGGCGTCCCCTCGGAAGCTTCCTGAAAAGGCTTCCCCCGGGCACGCGCAAGCATGGGGTATGGGTCTGTGCATCTGGCGCTCGGGCGTCAGATCACGGACCGGGAAGCGTACCCCCGACATGTGAAGCCAGTGCCGTCTCCTTTGGCGGCGGAGCGCGTCGCTGTCGCACGGAAGCGGGGCCCGTCGCTCATCCACGCGCCTTCACCCATGTGCCTCCTCGCCTCCCAGGGGCAATTTGGACGCCCGAAATGGGTACGGAAAGAATGGGTAGAATGCCCAACAACAAATGTTGTCCCAAACCAACAGCGGCCGCTCTTGGGCTGGCGGCCTTCTGTCTCGAATGTACACAGGCCGCGGCGGCGTGGACAGCGAGTCCTGTTCAAAATGAGCAGGACCGCTGTTGAGCATTGTGCCCATTCTTTCCGTGCGAATTTCGTTCGTGCAGGGGCAAGGAGGGCAGGCCCCCCCGCCCCGCCACCTTCTGCGCGCCGCCTCCTCGGGGCGGCCAACCGACGACCCACGGCCCTCCGGCTCGCGAGGCCCAGACATCCGACGTTGTGCTCGTGCGCCGGCCCGCGGGCCCCTAGGTCTCGAGCCTTTCCTGAACGTTGCGCTTCCCTATAGGCGGCTCGTCTGCATGTGGCTTGCTGTGGTGCCTCAAGGAGCCGGCGAAGGAGCCGGGCCCCCGATGTCGGCGGTCCGCCGTGGCTGCCCTTCGTGCCCCACGCATCAAAACCAGCCTCGAACGTATCCCTATCCCTAAGATTGGCACGCCAAAAAAGGCGATGCCAACCTTAGGGATTCGCCCTCAAAAAATGAGGGAATCCCTAAGATGGGCATCGTGATGAGGAGGTGCCCAGCATAGGGAGAATAGGGATATGTTCCAGGCTGGTAAACATCGTGAAGCGCGTAACGCTGTTCAGGGCCTTCTGCCGCAAGGGTGACTTGCTTCCGCCCGCATGCTCCGTACGCCTCGGCCCACTCCCAAGAGGCAATGTTCGGTGCTCCGGGGCCTGAAAACGGACCCCAGGACTCACGCAGGGATCGGATGGAAGCAAAACCACAAACCGCCCGAAGTCTGGGGACGACCACGGTGCCTCCCCGCGCACGACCATCTGCATCAGGGACGTGTCCGGCACGGCGGACACGGACGCAAAGGCCGCGGCCGCCACAAGCGCCGGCGGCGCGGCAAGGGCGGCCAGCATGGCCGCCCGAGAGAAGAATGTGGACGGCGGGGGGCCGAGGGCGTTGAGTTCCAGTACGGAAAATATGTATCCAGCCTGCAGATGTGTTCTGAAGCCCAGTGCAAGCAGGATGTGTGAGGGGAAGGGGGGAAGGATGATGATGATGAGGGGGAGGAGGAGGTTGCTGGTAGAGTTTGGATTCACGATTTGGCAAATTTGAAATCTGATCTAAAACTTTGAACTCTGGCCGACGGAAAAAACAACTTCAAATACAAGTTTAATATGTTTTACTCGTCTCGTCCAGACAATCAGCCCAGGTAACAAGTTTTGAAGCTGGATTTCAGACATCCAGCGCCTGGAATGGTAATGGTGGTAAAAAATGAAATAGGTGGTCGTAATGGTAATGACCGGAAGTGTAATAATGATAAGGCTGACCGGGTTTGAGTGGCCGGGGAGTTCGTCGTCTGTCAGTAGTCATAAGGGTACTGATGGAGATCTGGTGTTTGCAGAGCGCGTAAAACAAGACATCGAGAGGGTGGTGGTGTGGTGTGGTGTGGCGTGTGGTGTGGTGTGGTGCGATGTGTGGTCTGGCCTCCTAAGATTTACGATATGGTGCCCGTTCTATGGGTATGAAGTGATACATTACATGTTGGGCAAGCTGAGAGCTTTGATGCTGTGGTATGCATGTAAGGAAGATTGGGGTGTGCGATGCTGTGGTATGTATGTCTGGTGTGTTTCATAAGAATTATGATGAACTAACGTGTAAACATATATCAACATAATCGCAATGGTGTGATGTGTATGTCCGGCAAACTAAGATTTACAATGATTTGATGTGTATGTTGGACATCATCAGATATATGATGATGTGACGTGTATGTTGGGCATCATGAGATACATGATCATGTGATGAGTGTAGGGCATCATGCTATGTATGATGATTTGATGTGTGCAGGGCATCCTCATTTTTATGATGTGATGTGCGCGTATAGCATCATAGGGTCGATGCTGATGTGATGGGTCTGTCACTCATCAGGAGCTCGATGCTGATGTGATGCATATGGCAAGGGGCATATATACATGGTGATTTGATGAACATGTATGTAATCAAAGATACGGTCTATGATGATGCCATGTGTACATATCTGTGCTATCACCAGGGCTCGGGGGATGTAATATCTATGATATTGTAAGGCAGACGGTGATGGTATATACATAAGCACGTATGCCATAATATTCTAGATGCTGTGATCGATAGGAACGACAACATGAACACCACGGCGGTGTTATATGTACGGCTGCATACGATGCATCGTGATGCGATACGACATAATAGGATGTGTGATGATGTGAAGCGTACATGTGTGACAGCATGAGATCTATGATGGCGTGGATCATATATATATATATATGGTATCATAACACATATGGTTGTCTGGAAGATGTATGTGTACGTACAATGACATACTACATATTTATGATGTGATGTATGTTTCAGGGAAATGTATACATATACAATTGGGTGATCTGTTTTTGCATGGTAGAAACATATTACACCAGAGAAACACCCCAATCAATGGATGGTTTAGTTTTCGCTGAGGAGATCGACCAGGATACCGGGAGCCGGGGAACCCAGCACCCGCCGAAATCGGCCTGGAACCAATAACCGGGAGCCCGGGAACCCAGCCTGCTACCAAAATCGGCGGGAAATTTTCGCCAAATCTTTCAACTTCCGCAAGGACCCCTTCAGTGCAAGCACTGATTGGGGAATGTATAGCAATGTGGCACATATACGCATGATATAAGAAGATCTACGATGCTGTGGTATGTACGTATGGTACCACACAACGTGTATGACAATGCTGTACATCCGTATGGGACGATGAGGTGTACGACGTTGTGGTGTGTACACATCTGTGTATTTGGTATAACAAGATATACGACGATGCGGTACATATGCATGGTGCCATATTTATGCATGTATGGTACGTTAAAAGATGCAGCAGTTGTATGCATGTATACGGCATCCTAAAATGTTATGTTGTGTTTCACGTATGAAAACACTGCATGGACATATGCCTGGTAGCATCATATGTATCATCTGGTGGCACATACATATATGTACGATACCATAGATGTAAATATATATATGACTGACGAGTCTCCCTAGGGGCCCAAAACAGGCTCCCAAGAGGCCCCCAAACTGCCCACCCCCCGCCCAGAGTGCCTCGATAGTGCTCTGAAGAGACCCCATGAAGCATCCTGGGAGACCCGGAGCCCAATGAGAGCTTTGAAGAACTAGGGAGGACCAGGCGTTCCATGCAACAGCTTTCTTCGCCTTCCTCTTCCTCTTCCTCCTATATGCCCTCTTCCCCATCAAGATCGCCATCGTCATCGACATCATCATCATCATCATCATCATCATCATCATCATCATCATCATCATCATCATCATCATCATTACAATCATCATTACCATCATCATCATCATCATCATCATCATCATCATCATCATCATCATCATCATCATCATCATCATCATTATACTCATCGTCATCATCATCGTAATCTTCATCATCGTCATCGCCATCGTCATCATCATCACCACCATCACCGCCGTTATCACAACCACCACCACCGTCATCTGCATCATCCTCATCATCAACACCACCGTCATCATCACCACCACCACCGCCATCCTCCTCCTCTTCCTCATGTTTCTCGTCCTTGCTCCTCCGCCTCAGCCTTCTACCTCCTCTTGACCTCCTCCTCCTCCTCCGCCTCAACCTTTCTCCTCCTCTTCGCCTCCTCTTCCTCCTCCGCCGACTCGCCCTCCTCATGCCCCTGGGGGCCGCGGCGCGCGCAAGAGGGCAAGCCGGCGGCGATGATCGACGCCTCCACCTCGTTCCTCCACATTCCCTCTTCTCCTCGTCCTCCCCCTCACTCCTCATCCATCCTACTCGTCCCACGCTCCTCCTCCTCCTCCTCCTCCTCCTCCTGCTCCTTCTCTTCCTCCTGCCGCTGACGACCGAAACGAATGACGACGAGGCGTGAAGATTCGCCCGCAATAAACCCAGCGGCCTCCAAGACGTCCTCAGCACGGCCCAAGAGGCCCCCTGGACGTCCCAGGAGGACGGCCCCGAGAGAGCCCCAAACTGGCCCTAAGAGAGACCAAAGCAGGCCCAAGACGGCCTCCAAGGCCCTTCGATGGCTCAAGACGGCACCACGAGACCCTCCAGACGGCCAAGGGGGCCCCAAGACAGCCCAAGAAAGCCGCATCAGCATCAAGCTCAGAATGCAGAACAGGGCCGCCAACTTGTCGAGATGGTGCGTCTGGCGCCGCACAGTGTCAGAGCTGTCGACTAGCATCAGGGGTACGGCAGCCATATGCTGAGGCGGCTGCGGCTCCTGAGGTTGGAAGGTGGATGGCCTCCGCGGGTCCTGGCCGTCACGCCAAGAATCACCACCCGGAGTGCTAGTAGCACTCGCGAAGAGACGAGGTTGCTTCTTTGCGAGTTCACCGTCGCGTGGGTCCCTGCCCCTCGCGGTTGCAACACTTTTGCCTGCACGCCGCTGAGAAGAGGAGCCGCCATCAGGCATGCCCCTCGCAGGGGAATGCCGAGAAGGAAACGAATTGTTCGATGGAGACCTAATTGATCTGTGCATGAGAAGTGTGTTGTACAGGGGTATCCTGAGCAAGCGTGGGCGTTCAGAGCATCTGGTGCGGGGCCTTGTGTCCCACATGCAAGGCCTGAGCGAGACACTCCAGACTTTGGCCAGAATGGCCACGGATGCAGCACAGATACATCGATACATATGTGTGTGTGTGTGTAAATACGTTTTCCTGATTCTCCCACGGCCCCCGCTCGCCCCAACCGTAACCGTGCCCGAACCGTGCCGGAACCGCGCCAGGGCCGTGCCCGAACCACGCCCGAACCGATGTGATCAAACATGGTGTACGCATGTTACATATCATTGCTGGTAATGTCTTCCCCTGAGGACCAAACCAGCGTGCGTCAGACAACTTGTTTCTACTTTAATCTCGACGTCTTCAACTCAAACATATTGCAACGCTTCCTTGAAAGAAACATGTCTTAACATAGAAAACAGACAGGCTCGGAATAAAGCACGTTATGTACTGCCTGACTTGTGCGAACAATCAAAGTGTAAGTATGATGCCCTGTCTGCTAGTCAGATACTTGTGCAACTTGTGCTGGGCGAGGGCCCTTCGTGCGAACGTGGCCAATGCAGCCTTCGTTTGAGCCCCCTATGGGGGGAGAACGGCGGAGGGCAGGGTGAGGGAGGAAAGGGGTGAAGGCCGAGGAGCGGGCCAGAGAAAGCCCACAATGTGTCAACGATGCGATCCCCTCCTCAGTTGTTCCTACACGCATTCTTCTTCACTGCGCAAGAGCCGCCCTCCTCCTCGCCTGCCCCCTCGTCCACCTACTCCTGATGCCCCGCTCGCTCTTGAGCGTCCACTGCCGCGACGCCCGCGGCCCGCCGCCGAGGGGTAGGGGTCGAGGAGGCAACCACCCGCCCCTCCACCTCCCTCTCCTCCCTCCCCATCCCCCTCTCCCTGCCCCTTCTCCTCGTCATCTCCGCCTCGCCCTCCTCGCCCTTCTCGCCCTCCTCGCGCCCCCCTCCTCCTTGCCCTCCTCCTCCTCCTCCTCCTCCTCGTCGTCGTCCTCCTCCTGGTCCTCGCCCTCCACGCTCCTCCTCCTCCTCCTACTCCTCCTCGCTCTCCTCCTCCTCGCCCTCCTCATCCGCATCCTCCTCCTCCTTCTCCTCCTCCTCCACCTCATTGCCCTCCCCTCCTTCCCCTCCTCGCCCTTCTCCTCCTCCTCGCCTCTCCTTATCCTCCCCCTCGCCCTCCTGTATCCTCCCTCTCCATTACCATTCCTTCTAAGTACCTCCCCCTGTTCCCCCCCGAGGCCAGTCGGAAGGGCGTGCTGGGCGTTCGCCTGAGGCGTCCTGGCTATTCGGATCATGCAGCCTACACATGGGGAACCTGCTCATAACTGGAGAGCAGGCGGTTTTCAAACTGTGGCGCTCGCCTCAAAGCCGCGCACATTCATTTGAAACACGCAAGAATTTCACTGATGGAGGGCGGGCGGTTATCAACATGTGGCTCTCGCCTCAGCGCCGCGCACATTCGTTTTCAACATTTGAAATAGCTGCACGGATTGAAGGCGGATCGTTTGCAAAATGTGGCTATCGCCTTGGCGCCGCGCACATTATTCTTAACAGGTTGCAGCTGTATCACGGACTCCCAGGGTCACTTCAGAGTGCCAGAAACTGCGTTTTGGAGCGATTCAGGGCTGCCAGAGCGCAATAATTGCGTGGGTTCGCGGCGTTGAAGCCCCAGGACTTGTGATCTTGCGCGATACAGGATCGTCAAAGCAGCAACAATCAAGTTGATTCGTGGCGCTTGTCCCGAGAATGATGTTTATGTCACGCTGCATGATCTTCGAACGCTTGTCTCCCAACGGGGCACTTCCCCCAGTGGAATCCCTGTGAGGGCCTATGAAGGGGGAGCTTGGAGGCAGGGGTGATCCTAACACCGCTGATGAGTCTTGGGTCTACACTGGTCCTCCTCCTTCTCCTGCCCCCCTCTCCTCCTCCTCCTCCTCCTCCTCCGCCTCCTCCTCCTCCTCCTCCTCCTCCCTCCTCCCCTCCTCATCCTCCCATCCTCCTCGCTCCTCCTCCTCCTCCTCCTCCTCCTCCTCCTCCTCCTCCTCCTCCTACTCCTCCTCCTCGTCGCCCTCCTCGCTCCTCCTCGCCCTTTTCCTGGAGGACGCCGAGGCGGCGCGCGACCAGCGCCCGCCTCCGCCAACACGTTGGCCTCCGCGCCGAGCGCCCCGTGCAGCGACCGGGCGCGCTCGGAGAGCTCCGCTCCGCGCAGCTCGGCGACTCGGGCGGCGGCGACGCTCCTCCTCGCCCTCCCCCTCATCCTGCTCTGCTTCTCCTCCTTCTCGTTATCCCCCTCCTCCTTCTTCTTCCTCTCCTCCTCCTCCTCATCTTCTCCTCCTCGTCCCTCCCCTGTCCTACTCCCTCCTCCCCCTCCTCCTCCTCTCCTCCTCCGCCTCCTGCTCCTCCTTCTCCCTCTTCTCCTCTGCTCCTCATCTCTCCTCCTCCTCCTCCTCCTTCCTCGTCCTCCTCTCCTCCTCCCTTCTCCTCCTCCTCCCTCCTCCTCTCCTCCTCCTCTCCTCCTCCTCCTCCTCCCTCTCCTCCTCTCCCTCCTCCTCTCCTCCTCCTCCTCCTCCTCCTCCTCCTCCTCCTGCTCCTGCTCCTCCTGCTCCTGCTCCCCGCTTCCCCCCCCAGCGCGAAGTCGTCCCCAGGTCATTGTTTTGACCCTGTTTGAAGACTCCTGCTGTAGAGGGACAGGCCCGACTTCAGACTCGGGATCGCGAGCTTCGACTGCGGCATCGACTTCGGAATTGATTTGCCCCAGAATTGATCTTCACGTCGACTCTTCCAGAGAAGTACGTCAAGCATTCGTAGACCTGCGAAAGTTCTAATTACGAATTGCCCGTGGATCCGACAAGAAACATCAATTCTCGGGAGCGGCCAAGAGGGGGGTGTCCAAGAGGGGGGGGTGCAAATCATGACCGGCGGCATGTGCGCGGCCCAGAGGGGGGGCCTGGGACGTAATGAAATAAGAAGAGGCGCCATGCAATCTGGGGAAAAATCATGGCCCGCGCCATGAAATCCCCCCCCCCTCGTCATCACCCCCCTCTTTTCCGCCCCCGAAATTTTGGGGCAAACCAATTCTGTACTCGATCTCCTCCTCGAGAGCTGGCCCCGGGCCAGGGGCCGAGGCCCCCGGGGCTGGCGGCGCCCGCGAGGGGGGCGCCTGCCGCGAGGGCGGCGGCCTTCTCGGGGAGGGGCGGCCTCCAGGGGAGCCCGGGCCCCCCCCCCCTCTAATCAGGGGGGCGTAAGACCCGGGTACAGGGGACTCGGAAATCCCCGACGAGGTCGTCAAAAAAAGGACGAGGCCGAGCCTGCATCTTGACGAGGCCTCCCGCTGCAGACGTCCAACGAAACTCCTCCCCGTCAAAATCCGAGGCGCGGCCGTCAAAAAACACGATGGCGAACCCGAGTCCTGGCAAACCCGGGTCTTACGCTCCCCCGATCGAAGTCGGCTGCACGCACGAGCGACCCTGGGCAAGAGTGACCCTTGGTGCGCGGCTTCCTGGGGGCCGCGGGGAGACCAAACCTGGGCGCGCAAGCCGCTGCTCCCGCCTCGCTCTCAGCCTTCTTGAAGGGGCCCCAGGACACACAAATAAATACACACAAATAAAAAGATTCCCCATATTTTCCTATATTTTTGGGTTTTTTGTCTTCCCCACCACTTCCCATATTTTCCCATATTTTCTGGGAAATCGACGATTAATTGTGTCTGTGTGTTTTTTCCCCTCCCGACTTCTGGGGGCCCATCTGTGCCCGCACCAAAGGTCACTCCGGCGCAGGGTCGCTCCTACGCCCAGTCGACCAAGGCGGGGTGCAGCTCTCCTGGCGGGAGGCGTCTCCAGATCTTCGGGCCGTCACAGCCCCGGCAGGCGACGTCCTGATTTTCTTGGTCAGGGCGGCGTCCCCCGAAGTCCAGGCCCTCTCCCCGGGGCCAGTTCTTCGTCCCGAGTCGTCTTTGGACGACCCTGGGGCCCGGCGAGGGCCTCCAGGGGTCTAACATAACGGGAAAAACTGCCCGTCCTGAATGCTTTACGACGCCATCATGGCTGGGTCCATATCTTCGGGCCGTCGAGAAAAAAGGACTCGGAGTGGAGAGCCTTTCCCGCGGAGTGGGTCGAGGTCTCTCAGGGCCGACGTCGAACACAAGAAGCACGACGTCGGGGGTCATGGGAAGGCAGGCGGCCTCGAAGAAGCCACCCCCGGCTGCTGGGAAGCCAAGGGGGGCAACGAGAGGGGGGGCTGGCACGGGAGGGGACGCATCGACCTGGAATCGGCGATGCATCGCCGATGGATCGGCGATAGGCCCCCAACAGTGAATCAACGCGTTCCTGGGCAGGTTGGGGCTATCGAGCCCCCATCGTCGATCAATAGGCGATTGGGGGTCGATGCATCCCCCCTATGCCCTATGCCTATCCCCTCCCCTCTCGTTGCCCCTGAAATTGGAGGTCGCCAGGCTTTCCTAAGAAGGCCCTTGTTTTTTTTAAGAAGCCCCCCGCCTTCTTGGGAGCTCGCCCCCCTTGCGCCACGCCCTCGAAGGCGCCTCCAACTCGCGCGCGGCCTTCCTCTTCCTCCCCCTCCTGCCCCCCTCTCCTACTTCCTCCTCCTCCTCTCCTCCTCCCTCCTGATCCTCCTCTCCTCCTCCTCCTCTCCTCCTCCTCTCCTCCTTTTCCTGTTCCTCGTCCTCCTCCTCCTCCTCCTCCTCCTCATCCTCCTCCTCCTCCTCCTCCTCCGCATCGTCCTCGCCAGCATCGGACCTCTGACGTCGGGACCCCCTCACAGCGCGGTTCCCCAGAGGTCCGGGCCCCTCCCCGGCGCGCACCAGCCCTTCCTCTGGAGCACCTCCTCGACGGCCCCAGGTGCACCGGTGGCAGGGCCCCTGGGGGCTGGGCATCGACCATTGCACCCTCCGTCGTGAGATGCCGTCGCGACGCGAGGATGCCGGGAACCGAGGGTCTCGAACTCTCCACCCTCCCTGACCTTCCAGAGAGCTATGTTTTAGCACTGGAAACCCAAAAACCTAAAAAACGAGACGAGACAGCCTAAAACCAAGACGTAAAATAGCTCTGGGATAGGTTTTTACGTCGGGTGCTATTTTTTAGCCCTCCTGGAAGGTCAGGTCTGGCGCCCCCCCCCCCCCCCAGACGACCTCCTCCGGCGCCGCGGAGAAACGGCGGTGGACACAAACCTCCCTTCAGTAAACCACCCTTCGGTGGAAACGGCCCGGGACCGAAACCGACAGACCTGGAGCCGCAAGAATGACGGTCTCGCGAACCGAAAACGGCCAATTCGCTAATCGACGTGTCAGGATAGGAGGTCTGCCGGTCTGCCCACCCCCGAGAGAACTCGAGTCGGCCCGTCGATCTCTCGTCGCTCGTGTTGTCCCTGGGAGGCCAGCATCGGGACCGCCGGTAAGGCGCTCGGGGCAGAATGTGTCGGCCCTGAGGGAGGGTCTCGGAGAGAGTCGCGAGGCCCGCCCATCGGACGCATGCTGCACCGACCTTTTTTGCTCCACTCGCCTGCGCCCGGGCTCCTTCTCAACCCGTGTTGGTTAGCCAGCCGCTCCAACGTCTCGGGCACCCGGGCACCCAAAGCTGCACGACCCTTGCACTCGCAAGTAAAGAGCGCACCTTGCACGACGATTTGGCTCGCCACTAGAAGCAAAAGTGAGTATAACTTAATAAATAGGCAATCGATGGACGTACCCTGCTCAAGCGGAACTCCGCAACCTGCTCGAATCCGGAGACTCTGCAGATGGGTCGTTCAGCTGGAGGTATACACTCTGGCGGCCGCATCCCCAGCGCCTGTGCGATGCAGGGTATCGACAGATGGCGGAGTGGGGGAGGGAGGCACCCACGCGAACAGAAAAGAAAGATTCGGGTGAGCTGGCCGCCCGTGCGGAAACATACCGACTCAAGGGTGCTGGCCAGGAGACGCTCCGCAGTGCACCCTCTGGAGAAACTGGAGTGAGAGTTGAAGAGTACAGACAGGCTGAAGGCCAAATATAGCCGAAGCCGAAGACAAAGCTGAACGCGGAGAGGAGAAGAAGAGAACGACATAGAGGGTCTCGTCCATAGGCGGAGCAGGCAGCCACGCCCCCGGGAAAGCTGGGCCGGCGAGGAGTCGGAGGATTCGTGCCGCGTCGACATCGGCGTTAGTTTCTGACACTGCGCGGACAGTTCAACGCTGAACGATTGCGGCACTCTGATGGTGCAAACCGTTCCAGTCCGATTCCAGGCCACTGGCGGAGCTCAGCTTGAACGCACGCGCTGGGGCCGCCGCCGCGTCAACGCGGTGCGAACCCACCGTACACCTATCCCAGACCCCCGACGTCATGACTTTGTCGTGGCGCGTCGACCCTCAGAGGTCTCGACCCCATTGCCCTGGACAGCCGTCTCGTCCCGAGTCGTCTTGCCAAGCGACAGCCCCGAGGCCCGGTGAGGGCCTCCCGAAGCCGAAGATGGCGGAACACCTCCCGCCATGACTTCGGCATGACCCGAGGGGGGGGAGGAGGAGGAGGAGGAGGAGAAGGAGGAGGAGGAGGAGGAGGAGGAGGGAGGAGGAGGAGGAGGAGGCGGAGGAGGAGGAGGAGGAGGAGGAGGCGGAGGAGAGGGAGGAGGAGGAGAGGAAGAGGAGGAGTAGAGGAGAAGAGGGGGGAGGAGGGAGGAGAGGAGGAGGAGGAGGAGGAGGAGGAGGAGGAGGGAGGAGGAGGAGGAGGAGGAGGAGGAGGAGGAGGAGGAGAGGAGGAGGAGGAGGAGGAGGAGGAGGAGGGGGGCCTGGGATCGAGGACCCTGGTTGTTGGGCGGCGGAGCGCCCGAGGTGCCCGGTGCACGGCCCCTCCTCACCACGACGTCTGCATCAGGGAGGCGCCGCGCCTCGGGCCCCTGCCCTGCTCCGCCCCGGAGGCATTCTCCCCGGCCCTCTCGCCGACCCCGGTCGTCTCTCTCTCGGCCGCGTCGCCGTCCTCCTCAGGGGGGCCACACGCGAACCCCGCCCCTAAGGTACTAACCCCCGCGATCTCTGAGGGGGAGGGCGGGGTTCGCTCCGCTCGGGAGCTCCCGGACGAAGTGAACCCCACCCTCCCCCTCAGAAGTCGTGGGGGGCAGGGGTGGGGTTCGCATGTGGCCCCCTGCATGTCCTCGTTCTCTGTGGCGTTCTCGTCGTCCATCTCGACGGCGTCGGTCGTGATGTTCAAGACGTCGGTGTCCTGATTCTCGGCGGCACCTGCAACCTCCTCCTCTCTGGCCGCGGTCACATTGCTCTCGCCGTCTCTCCAGGCATCATCATCGTCAGTCACGTTCACGCTTTCTAACCGGCCATTTTCCCAGACTGTCGTCTCGCGTTCCCACCTGCGCGCATGCACGTTCCAAGCAATATGGTCTGTGTCCTTCGGGGCGTTGTACCCGTTCTCTTCGCCCTTGATGTCGAAGTGCTTTCTCACAAAGCCTGACCCGTTGTGGAACGACCAATACTTCGTATCCCTGGGGCATTGGGCTTCCATGCCAGCAAACCCCATGACGAAATTGGTGCTGTAGTCAAGTCCGATCACCCAGGCCAGACGCTCCTGCATGAAGTACAGGTATATTGGTTGGCTCTCCAGGCCCAGGGTGCTGTCCATGTTGAGGTAGATGGGCCTTCCGCCGTTGAACTTCTTTGGCTGGAGAGTGGTCTTCACGTACGGGCCCCCGAGCGCGGTCAAGTCGGGGCTGGGGGCCGACAGCCTCAGCGTTGCGGGGCACCCCTGGCAGGTCTCGAAGCTCAGACGGCCGGACACCATCCTCCGCCGCTCCCTCCTCGTCAGCAGGTGCGGGTGGCAGCAGGTCCCCGTGCTCTTGAGCTGCGTCCGGAGCTCTGGCGAGAGCCTCTCGGAGTGCGACCGGAGGTGCGGAGGAAGAAAAGATAGGGCGGCCATAACTTCGGGACACACGCCCGGACTTCTTGGCCCGGCGGCTGGGCCCCCCCCTTCCCTGGCCCGCCCTGCGCGCCAGGGGCGGCGCACGATAGGCGCCGGTCCGAGAGAGGGCCCGGCGCCGGTCCGAGAACTCCGCGCGGACCTCCCGGAAGTGTATGCTCATGCCAGGGTTTCTTCCTCGAGGTGTCGCAGTAGAACTCGGACCACTTCCCGCAGGACCCGAAGTTCGTGTGCATGCAGGCCAGGGCGGGGGCGTCGGGGCGCCGCACGAGCTCGAGCAGCCGCCTCGTGGGGGAGGTGGGCTTCGGGTGGCCGGTGAAGTGGGCGATCACGGCGCCCTTGGTGCAGTGCTGCTCGCAGGGCCTCGTCTGGCCCGGCTGGATGCCCACCGTGTCCACGCAGTTGAACTTCTGGTCGATCGGGAAGATCTTGCCCTGATAGTAGGCGTTGATCAAGTTCTGGTCGAGGACCTGCTCCCGCCGGCGCTGTGTCACCATCACGAGCATCGACCGGAACACCTCGAGGCCAGGCTTGAAGACCATCACTCCGCTGTTGTACTCGTCCTTGCAGCCGTCTCTCGCCATGGCGATGTGCTCCAGGGAGGGGAGCTCCATCTCCTCCACCAGCCACCTGACGCGTTCCTTGAATATGTATGTGTCCGAATCCATGAAGAGCACCCTCTTAAAGGGCAGACGAAAAGCATTCATTTTCTCGAAACTATCATGCCAACGCCCCAAAAACTCCAGGTCGCAGCCCTCTCCGCAGTACTCACCCTCCCAGTTCGGGACGGTAGCCAATTTCCAGCCAGCTCTTTTCAATAGAACCTGGCTCCTCCAAGGCATGCCCTCGATGATCATGGCCACCCTGACGTATTCTGGCAGGTACTTTTGGGCAGACAGACCTAGCATCACCGCCCCATCGATGTACTCCAGCTTATTCTTACCTGCAAATGTGACGACGGCGGTGTGATGATGAGGATGCTGTAATTCTCTGTAGAACGGAGTATGATTGTCCAGCGGGGTGAAGTCCACGGGAAGTACGTGAGAGACGTTCTCAATCCACACTGGCATGGCGACATCGGAGTCGCTGATGTTGGCCTTGATTGCCATGCCTTGGAAAGCATCGACGACGCCCACCAACGCAAGCGCCAGAAGCCGTGAGCGGGTCATGGAGGATGTGCTCGAAAACGAAAGCGGTAGAGCTGTGCAGTCTTCACATGTAAGGGAAAATTGCGCACCGCACGGTGCCTGATCCGATCCTGCGCGGACCCTGAGCTTCTTTGAACGCCCGAAGTGGGTACGGAAAAATGGGTACAATGCCCAACACCAAATGTTGTCCCAAGCCAACAGCGGCCGCTGTTGGGCAGGCGGCCTTCTGCCCCAAATGTGCACAGGCCGGGGCGACACCGACAGCGAGCCTTGTCCAAAAGGAGCAGGAACTGCTGTTAGGCCTGCTAGCAAACAAATTTCGAACATGTTGCGACTGCTGTCTTGGTCGGGAGCGGCAAAGAGGGGGGTGTCGAAGAGGGGTGTGTGCAAATCATGACCAGCGGCATGTGCGCGGCCCAGCGGGCGGGCCAGGGACGTAATGAAACAAGAAGAGGCGCCATGAGATCTGGGGAAATATCATGGCCCACGCCATGATATCCACCCCCCCCTAGTCATCACCCCCCTCTTTTCCGCCCCCGACTTGGGCCGCCCGTGCTCGGTCCCGGCCCCGCCCCAGCCCCTGCTCGCGCCCAGGCCCCCCCCCCTTGGCAGTGGGCCACGGCGGGGAAGAGCTATACGGCGAGGGTGCCAGGCCCCTTAGGGAGGTCCCGTGCCGCATCCGGTGCAGCGCCATCTGGTGGACCCGGGGAGGCGGTCCAGCCAGAAGGGGGTGGTGCAGTGCTGGCGGGGCAGCCCTCTCCGCAGAGGAGGAGGAGGAAAAGGAAGAGGAGGGCGAGGAGGAGGAGGAGAAGGAGGAGGAGGAGGAGGTGGAGGTGGAGGAGGAGGAGGAGGAGAAGGAGGAGGAGGAGGAAGAGGAGGTGGAGCAGGAGGAGGAGGAGTGCTGCAAATGTGTGGTGCCAGGGGAATTGTATTGCAATGCAGTGTAGCTCATGTGCTGCACGCGAGAATCCATCGATGCATGTGCGCCCCGGAATGCACTGTACGCCTGTCACATATTGCAATCCAACGCATCTTTTGCACCAAATCTAGTGCACCACCCCCTCTTCTAGCTGGACATCTGGTGGTCCTGCCCCGAGGGCCCCCCGAGCAACGCGCAGTTCAAGCACGCAGTGTCCCCTTGTCTTCCTTTGTGCGAGGCGGCGACTTATCCATAATCACCGCTTGGGGGATCGAGTTTCGGGCGCTTTGGCGAGCTGTGGATATGGACATGAATGTATTTGGCCCGGACCTCCTGGGGCGCTCCCGGGAGTCTCGTGGGGCCCCCGTGGCTCGTCTTGAGCCGTCTTGGGGCTCTCCTGAGGGCCTCTTGGGGCGCTCTTGGACGCTGTAGGGCCCTCCAGGGCGTCTTTTGGGCCTCCTTGGGGCAGTATTCCAAACCCTATGTCGCTTCGGAGTCCCCTCCGGGGCCGTTTTTGTGAGGACGTCTCTAGCGAAACGGCCATTTGTCAGAAAGCTCTCTTGACATGAACGGGAAGCGCGTGAAAGCGACGAGCTTTGCAGGAACGTGCGACATCATCACGATATTCTGTGATCGCATGTCGGCACTACCCGTGTCCAGACCCCCAACTTCCCCACTCGCGTTCCCCTATGCCAGGTCGCGTTTAGTTTCCGCAGGAACGCAGACGAAACGCACCCCCGCTGGCGCATCTCGGCATTGTCCGTCTCCAGACCCCCTATCTCACCACTCGCGTTCCCCGGGGTCAGGTCGAATTGCTCTCCGCGCAAATTCAGACGAGGCGCACCCCCCGCTGGCACATCTCGGCATTATCCGTCTCCACACCCCCAACCTCCCCACTCGCGTTCCCCAAGTCGACTTTCTTCCCCGCACGAGTTCGGACGAAGCGCACCCCCCGCTGGCGCATCTCGGCACGATCTGCGTCCAGACTCACAACCTCCCCACCAACCTTCCCCCATATCTCAGGTCGAAATTACTTTCCGCGCGACTTCAGACGGGGCGCACCCCCCGCTGGCGCGTCTCGGCGTTATCCGTGTTCAGACACCCAACCTCCCCACTCGCGTTCCTCATATGTCAAAAGGAGCTTACTACCCGCGCGACTTCAGACGAAACGCACCCCGCTGGCGCATCTCGGCGTTATCCGTGTCCAGACCCCCAACCGTCCCACTCGCGTTCCCCGTATGTCAAAAAAGGAGCTTACTTCCCGCGCGACTTCAGACGAAGCGCACCCCCCGCTGGCGCATCTCGGCACTATCCGTGTCCAGACCCCCAACCGTCCCACTCGCGTTCCCCGTATGTCAAAAGTAACTTACTTCCCGCGCGACTTCAGACGAAACGCACCCCCCGCTGGCGCATCTCGGCGTTATCCGTGCCCAGACCCCCAGCCGTCCCCCTCGCGTTCCCCGCATGTCAAAAGGAGCTTACTTTCCGCGCGAATTCAGACGAAACGCACCCCCCGCTGGCGCATCTCGACGTTATCCGTGTCCAGACCCCCAGCCGTCCCCCTCGCGTTCCCCGCATGTCAAAATGAGCTTACTTCCCGCGACTTCAGACGAAACGCACCCCCCGCTGGCGCATCTCGGCGTTATCCGTGTCCAGACCCCCAACCGTCCCACTCGCATTCCCCCTATGTCAGGTCTTAATTAATTGCCGCGCGGCTTCAGACGAACAGCACCCCCCGCTGGCGCATCTCGGCACTATCCGTGTCCAGGCCTTGAACCTCCCCACCCGCGCTCCCCCATGCCAGGTCTAAATTAATTGCCGCGCGGCTTCAGACGAACAACACCCCCCGCTGGCGCATCTCGGCACGATCAGTGTCCAGACACCCAACCTCCCCACCCGCGCTCCCCATATGTCAAAAGGAGCTTACTTTCCGCGCGAATTCAGACGAAGCGCACCCCCCGCTGGCGCATCTCGGCGTTATCCGTGCCCAGACCCCCAACCTCCCCAGTTGCGCTCTCCCATGTCAGGTGGAGCTTACTTCCCGCGCGACTTCAGACGAATCGCACCCCCTGCTGGCGCATCTCGGCATTATCCGTGTCCAGACCCCCGACCTCCCCACTCGCGTTCCCCCATGTCAGGTGGAGCTTTCTTTCCGCGCGACTTCAGAGGAAGCGATCACCCCCCTTCCGGCGACCACTTGCTTGTTCAATTCAAGTGCTTCCCCCGGGGCTCGTTTCCTGTTTCTTTATCCAGGAAAGTCACTAGGCTCAAACTGCGCCCCTGTCCCCCAGTTTACAACATCAGCGGCTCCCGAATGATACTTCCTCGCAGTTCATTCCAAAATCGCGCTCTCGCGCGGGAATTCTTCACACTTTGTAAACCAATCGTGCTCTCGCGTGGGACTTCCTCGCAGCTTATTCAGACGATGCTCCCTCGGCGATCAGGAATCACGCTCTCGCCTTGGCTTTTCTCACGATTTACTTGGGAATCACGCTGTCGCTCGAAACTTCCTCGCGATTCATGCAGGACCCACGCTTCAACAACCCGCCTGCTCGACCTGGTCGCCTGGGCCCGCCTTCCTGACCTGCCCGCTATGGGTCTGTCCACCCGATCTGCCCGTCTGGTTCTACCACTTGTTTTCTGCTCCTTTCCCCGCTCCCGCTAATTCTCCCGTGCTCCATATGCTCCTCCTCCTCCTCCTCCTCGTCCTCCTCCTGCCTGGTGCTCCATCCTCCTCCATCCCCCTTGCCCCTTCCTTCCATCCGTCCTCTCTTCCTCTGCTGCCTTAGGGGCTTTACGACATACGCGTTGCATGCGAAACAGATCTATCCCTAAGGGGGTACGATCGAAGACGAAGAGGGCGGGTACCGAGGGCTTGGAATATACCTATATATTGGCACGTGAGCGGATGGGAGCGAACAGTCTTACACTCA